AATGTAATTCTATTTTGTTGCTGTTCATTGTGTCCAACTCTTCGTGACCCCTTTTGGGGTTTTCTTGGCAAAGACACCGGAGTGTTTTGCCATTTCCTTGGTCAGCTCATTTTGCATATGAGGAAACTGAGGCAAACAAGGTTAAGTGACTTGCTCGGGGTCACACAGCTAGGAAATGTCTGAGGCTGGATTTGAATTCAAGTCTTCCTGACTCCAAGCCCCGTGCTCTATCCACTGAGCCACCTAATTTTATAGTGATTGATGAATAACACGCCCTTGAATAATCCAGCTTGGCATCAATTTAACACATTAATCTGGCTTTTGAAGTTTCAGCTGCTTAAGCTTCCATATCAGAAAGTGCCCTCTTAGCTTTGGATTAGGTCCAAGTGCTGTCCTGCACTTTCTGACCTGGTATTCACTCCTGTGAATCCCATCTTACCTGGAGGACATCTTAGAGTCACAGCAGAACACTGCATTTGGGGTCAGAGGACCTACATTCAAATCCTGACTCTGCTCCTTAACTAACCTCATGACCATGAACATTCACTAAGCCTTGGGTCTCATTTTGCACATCTGTAAGATAGATTGGGTTCCACAAACTCTAAGGCTATGATCCAGGAACAGTGCTGGAGGAACCTTAGAGTTCATTTATCCAACCCACTTTTTTGTACGGGGGGGAAACTGAGGCCCAGAGAAGAGAAAGATTTGCCAATGGTCTCATCTCAAGTTAGTAGCAGAGTCTGGACTAGAAAACATCTCTTGACTCCTAGCCCAAGGCCTTTTCCATTGGACCAGGTCCAAGTGTAAGTGGGGGAAAGAGCTAATTTCTCCCATCCTGGAGACTTTCCCTCAGCCCAGTATCCTACTTCTGATACACCCAGGAACCCAGGACAATGACTAGTGCATTGTAAGCATTTTGGAAACCTTGAAGCATCTAAAAAAAAAAAAGATGCAGTCATGGGTAGAAAGGGAGGTTCAGGAAGGGTTCCGAGTGACAAGAGGGCACTTTCAGAAGCAAGAGTCTGTTCTATTCAGAGGAAACAGCCTTGGGTTGGCAGTCAGGAGATCTGGGTTCAGTCGTAGCCCTGACTATGTCCTTGGCAAACCCTACTCTCCCCCTTTCCCACTCAGAACAATGGGGATGATGATGCCTACCCTGCCAGCCTCCTGGGTGGAGGTGGGGGCATTGAGGATGCACTGAAAGAATAGATAGGAAGGTGTATCCTAACTGGACACTAGTGAGGAGTGAGGGAAGAGGGAAGAATGTCTGAAGTTGTTTGAGACACCTGCCCCCCAGCTCTTCCTTAGACCCTCAGCCAGCTGCTTCCACCGCCATTATTTCCCAAGGCCCCAGGAATGCCAGCTGTCTCTGTCCCTCCCCTCCTTGCCCTGTCCTTTCAGTATTGACATTCTTGAACTGGAGCGGGGGTGAGCCTGAAGGAATTGGAAGACAGCTGGATCCAGTCAGGCATCTTGGGGCTGGGCAGAGAGGAATCGATGCCTAGACTTCCCACCCCCACCTTCCAGCTCTTCATTTCCAGGGTTCTCCCCTCTACCACCACTATTGGTTATGCTTCAGGGTTTATGTTAATTCACAGAAACATCAGATCTTAAAATCTCAGCACTGAAAATGTCAAAATATCCTTGGAGCATATCTTCTAGCCCAACTCCCTGTCCATCTGCTTGATATTTCCAGTGATTGAGAGTTCACTCTTTACCTGGGAAATCTATTCCATTATTACTGGACAACTGTGATTCTTAAGAAAGTCTTCCTTTCCTTATGAGCTATCATCTACCTCCCTGTAACTTCCAGCCATTGGTCCCAGTTTTGGACCCTGGGCCCAAATCAGCTTCCTCTAATTCAAGTCATGCAGTGTTTTCTGAGCTCCTTGTGGATCCCACTTGAGTCTGCTGACGTTATCGGAAGACACAAAGGAGACTGACTCAGAAAAACAGGCAGAGACCAAAGAAGGATAGCTTGTCCCCAAGCATTCAGGTGTGAATTTTTGATGTCCATCCTACAATTTGGGCTTCGAGAGGTCACTGTTCAGAGTATGCACACAGTAATAACCCTGTTACCTCATCGAACACACACACACACACACACACACACACACACACACACACACATGCTCATGAATGGACCACACTGATAGGAACGTGCGGATCCTGTTTGCAGGACACAATGCACACACAAGGGATCCATATATATATATATATATATATATTTATAGGCATCATATGCAAACACATGCACCTGTACACACATACCGCTGTGCCACACGTCTGTCCTCAGTGGCTCATAGTGAAAGCCAGGGCTAGAGGAAACTTGGGCCCCCTGCAGTCTTCACAATGACCACTTGGTGGAGCCAGAACCCCATTGTTTCGCTAAAGCCCACATCAAGCCTTTAATGAGTTCTGTGTGGTTTTTTTGTGGGGAGGCAGTGTGGGGGTGTGTATGGGTATTTTGGAGGTGGGTGGCGCTACTGAGATTATGAAACCTCAAGAGGGAGAGGGAAATTTTAATCTTCTCAGACTCAGAGAATTTTAGAACCAGAAGGGGCTTTAGAGACCTCTGAGCCTCTCATTTTACAGATAGGAAAACTGAGGCTCAGCAGATTCAGGATAAGAAATCCATTTTCTTGGCTCCCAGGTTTTCTTTCACACTCAGTTTGAACATGAACCAAACCTTTCACTGCCCAGAATCTCTCAACCCCCCATTACTGACTCAAATCCCTGGTCAGAAGGATAAGGGGAAGAGAAATTCTACCACGGGGGCCTTGAGTAGTAGAAGAGAAGGGAACTACCAGGCCAATGAGCCTTGGACACTGCCTTGAGCAATGAGAGCAGCAGATCTTTCAGGCATTGAACACCTCTTGTGGCTGATCAAGAATCTCCTTGGCAAGTGGTCCTAAGAGCCTCTCCATGAAGAACCTGAGTTATAAGGAACCCACACCCCTCAGAGGAGGGCCCCATTTCACTTTGGGATAGCACTAATGCTATGACGTTTAGAGTGGGGGAGACTGTGGGGTCTCTCTCCTAATGCTGGCAGCCACATGCTAGAGCTGACCCTACTAGCCAAGGGCTAAAGTCACCAAAAAGGAAAGACAAGAGTCAAAGACTCATCTCTTGGCTGCTTGTTCTTTCTGAACCCCACTAGCTCCAGAGAACTTTGAATGGAGGGGCTGCTGAGGACTGGAGCTGCCTACTTCCTGTAGAGATTGGGATGGGGGACATGGAAGGGAATGAAATCTCTGTTTATCAGGAGGTGGGGGAGTGGGGCATCAAGGGTGTAAGAGGAAGCACAGTGAAGAGATCTGGGACCTAGTCCTGCTCATAGGATGGCTTAGGATAAATCCCTTCCCCTTTCTAGGCCTCAGTTTCCCCATTTGTAAAATTACCTCTAAGATGTTTCTCCCTGGCCCTACCCACCCTCAGATAGTCTAAGATTTTGGGATTTGGACCTACTCTGTGTGTGGGAGTGGGTGGAGAAAAAGCTCAGCCAAACTGAGGGAACCCATTATTCCCCATCCCCTTGGGCAACTGAGTCACTTGAAATCCAGGACTGGGGTGGGGGTTGGGGTGGAGGGGTGGAAACCAAATGGAGTGGAAAGTGTTTGGAAAAGGGAGTGCCAGAGATGGTAAGGGGCCCCCTCCTTCTTTCCTGCCTCCGCAAGGCTCCAGCTTCCAATTCTTCAGAAGGATCCTGGGGAGGCTGAGAGTTGCTATTGTGGGAGGTTCAAGTTCTGGAACAGGCTGGAGGCTGGGCCTAGGGGTGGAGGAGAGTGGATTGCTCTTTAGGGGAATGGTGAGAGGTGGCTTGGGGGTGTTTCTTGGGAGCAGGGAGCTCTGGGATAGGTTGGGGGCCTTGGTGAATTGCTCTAGTGTGGAAGGTTCTGTGTAGGGGGTCTTTCGGGGTGGGCTGGTTTCTCGTGGATGAGCTCTGTGAGGGAGGTCTCTGTATGTGTGGGAAAGGGGTGTACGTGGGGTGGGTGGCTCTCCAGATTCTAGGGCTGTGTCTCTCTAGGGCCCAGGCTTGCAGTTCTGTGTTCTTTGACCGCAGTCAGGGAAGGCTTTTGTTGGGAACACAGAAAGGATTCTGCCCCACTCCTTACCCCAGACCTCAGCCTCTTCCTCAGTGAATATTCTCCCAGAACACTGAGTTTCAGAGTTCAAAGAAGTTTAGTGATTATCTAATTCCATCCCTTAGTTGTACAGATAGGGAAACTGAGGCCAAGAGGGAGAAAGGGGTTTATTTAAGATCACATTGCAATGACTTAGATGGAGCTAGATGAGGCGAGGCTACAGGTTCCCCACCCCTGGTCTAGATCAAGCCCAGGTGTCCTGACTCTCAACCTAGGACTCTGTGCCCCCAGACATGTCCTTGTTGTAGCCCCCACAGCCCCAGGAACCCTGACTTCAGGCCCTCTCTCATCTCTCACCAGAAAGTAAAGCTGGTGACTTTTCACAGCCCTTCCTCACTTAAATCCAATTCACTTGCATGTCATGCCATCACCTCCCTGATGTCATGGTCCTCTCTGAGAGCACAGGACAAATAACAAAAACACTACTACCTGCCTCCCAATCCTCCATCCCCCCTGGAGGAGTAAGACAGTGAGTTTTTTGGTTCACTGACTGGCTGAGTGCAGAACTGAGGCCCAGGGAGGGGAAGGGACTTGTTCAGGGTTGCACTACCCTTTCCTAATAGAGTTGGGACTGGAACTCAGGACTTCTGCCTCCCAGCCCAGGGTTTTTCCCGTTGTACCACACTGCTCCTGACCTAAGATGGCATAAAACAATAGTTACGATTGCTATCCCTTCCAAAGTGGTCAGGTTGGTGAGGCAGGAGACGGCAGGGCAAAGTCAATTTGTCTCCCCCATCCCCTACGGAGTCCTTCCTTCAGTCCCCTCCCCACAGGCTCCTCAGACAAGCTGGGTGGGGCCAAGGATCCTTTATAAAGGGACTGGTGTTGCTTGCCAACGCAGCTCCTCCCAAGCTGAAAGCAGAGAGACTCCGTGCCTGGGAGGAAGACTGCAGACTCAGACCTCCAAGCAAGCTCAGCTCAGTTCAGCTGCCAGGGCTCCCTGTGGTTGGGCCAGGACTAGAGGCAGGGAGCCCAGCAGCATCGGGACAGACAGCTCCTCAGGGCAGGATGGTCCTCCTAGGGCTGGCTGCCCACTGGCTGCTGGGGAGTCTGCTGGTCACCCTGGGAGCTGGCAAGAGCAGAATGCCCCGGTTACAACTTTCCTACAGAGGTAAGACTCTGGGTTCTGCTGACCCACATCCAGCCAGGCACACATTCCTGCCCACTTGAGCAGCCACATGTCCTGGACAGCCCCCTTCCTCTGAGTATCCATGGCCTCAGGGAGGCACTCTCATCTCCCAGATACCCACAGCCTCCTGAACTCACCCCTCAGGCACTCCAACTCCTTGTGGGCAACAGCACAGTGAAAAGAGCACTGGATTTGGACTCGAGGACCCCAGTTCAAATCTGGACTCTGCCACTTAATTTCTGTGTGACCTTGGTCCAGTCACTTCCCCTCTGGGCCACAGTTTCTCATCTGTAAAATGAAAGGGCTGAACTAGAAGCCTTCTAAGGTCCCTTCCTTAGCTCAAGCAAAATGATCCGATATCCAGACCCTCCATGGATACACACACTTGGGAAATCCAGCAAAATGCCATTTGGATCAAATTCATAACTTTTTACTCTGTGAGTTGTCAGCCACAAAGACTTTTATTTATGGACCGTTTCAAAAACTCTCCCACAAAATCATTTCGTTAATAAATTGAAACATGAACAACTTGAAAGTCCCTAAGACTAGTGACACCCCCTCCCCATTTTTCTAAACACTTGAAGGTTTACAAAATAATTTCCTTACAATAGGTGAGCAGGCTATTTAATTATCAGGATCCCCATTTTACAGATGAGGGAACTGAGGCGAAGGTGAAATGACTGTTCAAGGTCACACAGAAAGTAGAAGAGATGGGGTTTGAACCCAGATTCTTCGTTTGCCAAATGCAATGGGCTTTACCAGGCTGCCAACCAAGTGCTAAGGGAATGACATTGTCACCCAGAGCTGGAGGGCCCAGACGCTTATCAGTTTAGGCTATTCAGACACTCCTAGAGCTGGGAGTCTGTAGCAGAGTCTTTCGGACATATAGGGAGGGGCAGGAATCCAGCTGCCTGGAAACATGATACTGTGCCCTCAGATAGAATGGTGGGGAGGGGACATTTGTGCTTATGGATGAGGGCAGCCATCTGAATGGGGTTTTCAGAGGCCCCTCAGGGCTGAGGGAAATGGGGGAAAGGTGAGGATGGGAGCATATAGCCTTCAGTACTTCAGAAATGGATCCCAAATCCAGCTTGGGTGCTTCTTGGAGCCCAGACTCTCCCACAACCTAGGAGAGCCGACAGAAAGAAAATTGGTGATTCCTACTCCTCCATGCCTACCTGGAGAGACCCTTCCTGCTCCCACCTTGCCTCTGAGCATCCCCTTCCTTCTGCTCTCTTCTGGGCCAGGTTCTCTGGGGCCTCCTTCTGAGCCCTTAGTCCCAGCCTGCCCTGTAATCAGTGTAACCCCGAATCTCTCATGGAGCAGCCAAACAGGATTCTGGGCTCTCTGGATCTGTGAGGATAAGAAAATGGCTGATTCCCCACATAAAATTCCTGGAAAGTCTGGATGAAGTTGCTGTCTGTCTGCTTTCATAGACTTAGCATGTCAAAGAGAAAAGGGACCTCAATCACCATCTTAAGTTGAATTTCATTTTACAGGTGAAGAAAAAGGCCCAAAGACAGGAAGGGGCTTGCACACAGAAGCCCTGGCTCCTGTCCTGGCCACCAGGAGCCCAGAAGGGTTAAAATCTTGTGTCCAGAACAGCTAGACCTGAGGTCCCAGAACCAGAGGCGAGAGCCAAGAATAGTGCCAGTCTCTGGCCTCCTCAAGGGCACAAAGTCATTCTCCCCCATCCCCCAGAGCCTTATCTGGGGCCCAGGGCCCCTGGAGACTCTGAGATAAGCCCAGACCACATTCTCCTTTCTTCTGAGAGCAAACTGGCTGGCACAGGGCCCAGGCCCAGGCAGGGTCCCAGGATTTAGGTGTAGTTGACCTCGATAGAGCATTCTCTGTGTACCACTTTAGGAGCTATGGAAGAACAAGGAAAGAAGAGATAGGGCCTCCTTCACACTCTATACTGCCCTCAGTAGGGTGAAAGAGGCCTTGATTTGGAATTAGGTGCTGGGTTCAAATTCTGAATATGACACTCATTACCTATATGACTTTGAGAAAGTCATATAGTCTAAAAGCATTTATTAAGCACTTATTGTATGCCAGGTGTTACCCAGGAGTGGGGAACCTGCAGCCTCAAGGCCACATGTGGCCTCATAGGTCCTTGGGTGCAGCCTTTTGACTGAGTCCAAGTTTCACAAAACAAATCCTCTGAATAAAAGGATTTTTCTGTGAAACTTGGACTCAGTCAAAGGGCTGCACTTGAGGACCTAGAAGGCCACATGGGGCCTCGAGGCCACTACATCAAGCCCTGGAAGTACAAAGAAAGGCAAAAAACACAGAGCAACGTGAAAAGCACTGTGTTTTTCCAGAAGTTCAGAGGGACGAATTGCTAGATGGAAGGACAGGAGAAATAAAGAATGCAGAGCTAGGGGACTCTTGCCAAGAGGGCATATAAGATACCTATGGAAGGCAGTCTCAGATAGGTGCCAGCATTGGGAGCAATGGGAAAGGCCTCTTTGGGAAGGTGGAGTTGGAGCCGAGTTTTTTTGTTTTTGTTTTTGGCAATTGGGGTTAAGTGACTTGCCCAGGGTCACACAGCTAGCAAGTGTCAAGTGTTTGGTCTGAGGCCTGATTTGAACTCAGGTCCTCATGACTCCAGAGTTGGTGCTCTATCCACTGCGCCACCTCGCTGCCCCTGGAGCCGAGTTTTTAAGGAAGCCAGAGATGTCAATAGGTTTCAGAGGGGAAAGCCAGGGAACAGTCTCATGGATGGAGGACGAGCATGGGTGAGAAGGCCAATGTCCCTGACTGGGAGAATTCAAGGAGGGGAATAAAATTCAAGAAGACAAGAAAGATAAGAAGGGGGCAGATTGCCAAACAAAGGATATTCTATTTGATCCTGGAGGTAATAGGGAGCCACTGGAGTTTATTGGAGAGGGAGGAGACGGGGTCTGCTTTCTGATCTCTAAATGTCAGGGTGGGACTAGCTGGTCTAGGAGAGCCTTTCCAACTCCAGGTTCTATAAATCACTGAGTACTTCTTCTGAGGGGGGCCAATGGAGCTGCCCTCGGAGAGCCCCCCATGAGGGGAAAGTATGGTACCCGCTATCAATGAGAACTAAGACTGAGACAGAATGCTAAGAGCAGAAAGATAACCAAGACCATTTATAGCTTCTCTCCGAGTTGTAAGGAGTGTGGTTTATGTGAGTTTACTCAGGGCCTGCCAGGGTTTTTGAAGGATTCTGAACGGGGGACGGACTCTGGGTTGTATAAATGACCAGGTGCACTGGGGCCCGTCTGTGGCTGCAGCTGGCCAAGCCATCGTGGCTCCTGCTGTGACCGTGTGCCGTCCAGCTGCTCTCTCCCCTGCACCTTTCATCAGCTGCCAGACCTCATCCGGACTCCAGCCTTGGCTCAGTCATCCTGGCCTCCCCCAGGGCCCATATTATTGACTCTGATGTTTTCTGGAACTTGGTCCTGGCTGTCTATGATTCTTTTTTTCTTTTCTGATGAAACAAAATTTAGGGAAGTGATTCAGGGGAGAGGCCAGGAGTTGGGATGGTCTGCAGATTGGGGTGTGATACAGCAGAGCATACGTTGAAGAACAGGCTGGGATGTGACAGGAGATGAAGACTGGGCTATGATAGAGTGAAATATGGAGAAGAGGTTGGCCTATGACATGAAGGAGAGGCTGGTGACATGACGGGAGGGGTGACATTTGTGGGGAAGGGTTAAGGAAGGGGGATAATTGGAGGGTGGACAGGAAGGGCAAGGATAGCAGTGGGAATTTACTAGTCTCTGGAGCTGCAGATGACACGTGAAATTGCTGTTTCCAAGTGAGGCTGATACTGGCAAGCAGGGGAGTTTTTCCAGATGTTCAGTGGGACGAGCTGCTGGATGGAAGGGGTGGGGGAAGTAAGGGATGCAGAGGTAGGCTATTGCCAATGTCTCCCCCTGGTCTCTGGAGGGCGATGGGGCCAGAAACAGGAGGCAAGGAGGAGGGGGAGGGAGGTCAGGATGGAGACATTAAGCAACTGGGCAGGAAACACTCTCTGGAGCCTACTGATGTCTAGAACTCATAGCCTGCTCCTGCCTCTGTGTGTGTGTGAGAGAGAGACAGAGACAGACACAGAGACAGAAAGACAGAGAGAGACACAGACAGAGAGATCACTCAAGTGTGGTCGGGATAGATCCAGACTGCACTAGAGCTGGTATTGTTGGAGGACCAGTCCAGCCCAATCTTCCATCCAGGTCCCCTTGACCCATGTGGTACAGAGACTACGTCTAATTGAAACAGTCCTTAGCGTAGCATTCTTCATACAGTAGATAGTTAATCAGTGTTTATTGAATGAATGTGCCCTGAACTAGGGGTTAGGATATCTAGGGCTGAGTCCTGTGACCTTGGGCATGAGTGAAGAATGCAGCCCTGGGCTAGAAGGGTATGAGTTTCCTGGGTACTCCGGGCTAGGTGTTCTGCCTTGTCAAAGAAAAGCACATGCACCCACAGCCTTCAGTTGTAGATTGTTAACTTCCCTGACCTTATTAAATGTCCCTGCTCTTTGGACTCCAGCTCCTGGAGGCTCCAGGCTTGCTTGGCCCGCTGACATTACGGGCTGGCCACACTGGCCGCTCATGCTGTGGCCACCAGAACCAGGTACCTTGATCTGGTTCCTTTTGTCATCCTGTCCCTCTGTCCTTTCTGCCGCCTATCTCCACGGCCTCCAGACTTCACTAAAAAAAAAGTGCTTTTTTTCCCTGTGGTTTATTCAGAAGGCAAAAGAAATAAATGCAAAGATCATCCACCTTGGGAAGGAAATTAGACTTTTGGAAAAATAAAGCTACTTAGTACCAAGACAAGGGACAGGAAGGTGAGAAAGTGGAGGCTCAGAAAAGTGATTATGGCACATTGCCTCTCTTGGCTAACTATCTATCTTCCCTCTACTCAAAGGCAGAAGATGACAGATACCTAGTGCATACAATTAGTTTTCTCATCACCTTAAAAATTGAATAGAGAATGCCTCATCCCTCAGAAAATCACAGGCCCAGAGAAGCCGCGTTGTCCAGTGGGAATGGCACTGGCTTTGGGGTCAGAGGGCTTGGGTTCAAATTCTGCCTCTGCCATTACCTATATGGCCATGGGCAAATCATTGACCCTCTCTGACCCTCAGTTTCCTCATCTGCTAAATGGGGGGAAAGGTTTGGACCACATGGTCTCTGAGATCTCTTCTAGATCTCTGAGCCTCAGTCCTCTCCTCTGAACAACTGGACTTGAGGGTCTCTGAAGGGACTTATTTGCCTTGAAGTTTGTTGAAATGAGCTTGGGTTCTTGGGCTCCTTCTCTGTCCTCATCTTGGGTGTTAGGAGATTAGGAAGCCAACCTTGGAGCCAGAAGAGAATGAAAGAATGAAAAAGCTTTTTATTAAGCACTTACTGAATGTAAGGCACTGTACTAAGCACTGGGGATAAGCAAGATGGTGTCTACCCTCAAGGAACTGACTTTGTAACTGGGGAAGCAGTGGCCTGGTAGGGGTGTTTTGGACTAAAAAGTCCTTGGGATGATGGGTGGACCCATAGGACATTTCATTGAAAATTGGAGAGAGATGCAGCATATTTGTGTGTGTGTGTGTGTGCGTGTGTGTGTGTGTGTGTGTGTGTGTTTCACTCCCCAGCTCTCACTAACACTTGGACTGCTAGGAAGAAGGTGATTGATCACATTGCTGAGCAATGAATAGTGAATGCATCAAGGGGATAAATGGAGACCAGGCTGGGTGCTTCACACCCAGAGCCAGAGCCCGGGAGCAAAGGCAGGACTTGTGTATTTCTTTTTTTTAAATTTTGCCTGGAGATAAGTATGAAAGGAGCAGAACTGTGGTAATGGCAAGATCATGGTGCCCTGTTTGCCTTGGGTGGTCATGTGGGATGTGTACCTTAGGTGCTTGGCACCTTCAGCGTTGTGACTTCTTACCCACACTCCATTTAAGCAGATTCCAGTGTGGAATATGTGATTTTTGCTTGCCTAGCCTGACTCCCTAGCATAAATGAACTATCTTCCTTTCTCATTCCCAGAGAAGAGTGGGGACAGCGGGTGGACGGAAGAAGGATAAGGCCAAAATTAGGGTGGGACAGTTGGGACTTTTGCCCAGGATGCTGACATGGGAGGAACTCTGCTTTATTGAGGTAGTTTGGAGCTCACTACCTCAGAGTATCCATTGGGGTTGGGAATGAGGTGGGCCCTAGAGCAGAGCAAGGGATCGGGCTGTGACAGGCCAACAGATGAGATGAGGTAGGGCATGGTCTGGGCTGCCTTCATATGCAGTCTGACTGTCCTTTGTGCCCCCGGGTAAGAAGATGCCTAGTCACAGTTCTGCCTGGAGGATGAGGTGGGGGTCAAAGAGCCAGGAAATCTGATACCAAAAGGAAAGGCTAGGAAGAGGGTCTGTTCTGGGCATAATGTCCCCTTTCCCCATATCTGCTCTATAGATCTCCTGGCCACTAACCGCTCTACCCTCTTCCTGGGCCCTCGGGGTAAACTGGATCTAAGGGCTCTATACCTGGATGAGTACCGGGACCGGCTCTTTCTGGGTGGACGGGACACCCTCTACTCCCTGCGATTGGACCAGGCAGGGCCTGACCCCAAAGAGGTGAGTCAGGAGCCTGGGCTTTAGGGCTGGGTCAAAAGAGTCATCCTCTCCCCCGTGATTATCCACAGAATCTGACAATATTAGAGTGCCTGGCACATAGTAGGTACTTAATAAATGCTTGTTGATTTATTGGAAGGCACTTTACAGACCTTCTAGTGCCACACTCTCATTTTACAAATGGAGAAATTGAGGTCCAAAGAGGGGATGGAATGTTCTTGAATTCATACTGTAAGCTTTAGGATCAGATGGAGGGCTTCCCATCCGTTCTCTCCCTGCTATCTCACTCTCCCACTCCCACCCCAACTCCCGCCTCAAGCATGACGTGAGTTCCCATGTTCCTACTATTCCTTTCCCAAATGTTAGAAAGGGACTTTCCCCTGGTTCCTCCCTCCCTTCCCTCAGCCCATAGCCCAATACCGTATGTGTTCACAGATCTTGTGGCCTCCTCGACCTGGCCAGAAGGAGGAATGTATCCTGAAAGGCAGGGATCCCTTGGTAAGTGATGGTGAAGCACATTGTCAGGCCCTAGGTCTTGGTTCCCAGAGATGGTTCTCCAAGTTGGTACAGCCTGATTCTAAAGTCATTGAGGCACCAGTTAAAGGCCTGCCTTGGTTTCCCTTTCTGGAAAGGGATACAAGGGAGATTTACATGCTGCTTCGGCATCCCAAGGAGAACTTAGTGTCCCAAACTATGGGACAGTGGTGGAGGGAATGTAAATCCCAGCATGTATTTTTAAAAAATGTACCCAAATGAGATAGATTGGCTCTTGGCCAATCATAGCACAACAGGTGTGTGTGTTGGGGGCGGGGTGGGAGACAGTGTAGACTGAAGCCTGGCTTTCAAACAATTATAAAGGGGCTACTGCCTGACTCCTGGTCACACTGTCCCTCAGATAGGGGTGCTGGTGTTCTCTAGATTAGACCTCCATGAGGGGTGAGGAAGAATCCAGAGCCCCTGTTCCCTCTTTTCTTTGCCAATTTAGGAACCAGCAACTCAGAGCAATAGGAGACCTAACTTCCTTCCTGCCTGGGCAAGGAAGACAATGGGCCAGACTAGGTGGGGAGAGGGCAATGGAGGACAGAAGGGCAATCTGGAGGAATTTAGAGATTGTGAGAGACTGTGAACCAGCTTGCTCCCCAGCCTGTCTCAGGCCAGGCAGAGGCCAGTGAAATACAACCTTCTAGATATCTATCCTAGGACAATGGACAACAGAGAGGCTGTTTGGAGGGGGCACAATCCCAACCCCAGTCCACCACGCACAACCATACACCTGCCCCCCACAACATTCCTAAAGTCCATATAGCGAGTAGGAGCCCGTGCTAAGGGCTGGGCTTGAGACAAAAACAAATAAAACCTAATCTTTGTTCTCTTGGAGCTCCAAGTTTGGGGTGGGGTGGGGAACAAGGACATATAACTGACATAAGGCAGGGGATGATAAGGGCCATAATAGAGGTATGGACAAAGTATTGCAGAGTTTCAGAAAGAGAGAATTCAGAAGGGTCTGGGAGAATCAGAAAAGGCTTCATGGAGGAGGGGACAGCTGATCTGGGCCTTGAAGGAAGGGCAGGATTGGGCCAAAAATGGAAGGACAGAATTCCAGGCAAAAGGGAACAGTGTGAGCAAAGGTCACAAGGTCATAGCTCTAGAGCTGAAAGTACGCCAAGTCCAAACCACAAATTTTTACAGGTGAGGAAACTGAGGCACAGAGTGGTTAAGTGACTTGCTCAAGGTCATACTGCTAATAAGTGTCAGGGTGGGATCTGAACCTAAGTCTTTTTTTTTTTGAACCTAAGTCTTCCTGACTTCAAGCCCAGTGCCCTATCTACTATACCACACTAGTGTAGGATATATGCAGGGCATGGGGAATAATCCAGTTTATTGCATGGTAATTATGAAGGGGTGAGAAAGAGGGCTGGAAAGGTAGATTTGGAGGCCAAATTGTAGAATGCTTTGAGTGCCAGGCTGAGGAGCCAGTACTTTGACCTGTAGGAAATGGCCAACTGGGTCATTCCATACCAGCAACCAGTCAGCTAGTGACTGAGCTCCAGTGGATCTGAAGGAGCTAAGCCTCTGGACACTTGGCCCTCTTGCTATGCTGACTTGAGTTGAGGGGATGGACGATGGCTTCCTTGCCCCTCCCTGGGCCTCATCCTTCCGTTGGTTTCCCCTCCAGACTGAATGTGCCAACTATGTTCGAGTGCTACATCCCTACAACAGAACCCATCTGCTGGCCTGCGGTACCGGAGCATTCCAGCCCATGTGTGCCCTCATCACTGTGGGCCATCGGGGGGAGGTGAGCAGGGAGCACCTGGCTCCGGGCCCAGGGCAAGGGCACTGAGTGGCCTTATGCTGGGAACTCTGCTGGGCAGGGGCCTCAAAAGGGCAGGGGCCATAATGGAATGGCATTCCTCACTGCCTCCTTTGCCCTGGCTTCAGGGTTTGACCCTACTTGAAGGCTTCCCATTGAGTAGAAGATGAAGGGAAGCACTCAGCCCTGGGGCATGAGGGAGTGTAATGGTGGTGACCCAGAAGCAAAGGCTTTGTGCCTGGAGAGGGGGTGGTGGATGAGTAGGAAGAGATCTAAGACAACCCTCCCCCCAATTCCACTCCAAGCACTGCCTCTGATTCCACACAATCAGCCTGAACCCTGGTGACCTTCTGGATGGTTGTGACAGGGGACCAGGAGCTAGCCAGACTCCTCAAGGCCTCTAAGGATCTTGTCTCCCTGAGAGAAGAGGAGGAGGGAGGGAGAGAGGATGGGAGGGAAGATGGGGAGGGATGGGTAGGGTGTGGGAACCGGGCCGGGATTCTTCACCAAGCCATCCCATCCCATTGCTTTGCCACCCCTTAGCATGTGTTCAACCTGGACCAGGCCAGCGTGGAAGGTGGGCGGGGACGCTGCCCACACGAGCCTGACAGACCTTTCTCCAGCACCTTTGTTGGTGGGTGACTCTTGGTGGAATGGGGCAGAAGCAGGGGATGGACATTTGGGGGAAGAGGGAAGGAGTGCTGGGTAATGGGGACAAAGGGAAAAGTGTCCTGGCCTCAGGGTCATTCCGAGGACAGAAATAGTGCACTTAGGTGGGATCTCTTAACATGCTTCTACTGTTTGTTGCTTGAGTCGTGTATCTAACTATACTGTGAGCTCCCTGAGGACAGGGTCTGGTTCTACTTCTATCTCCTCCATTGTCCCTGAGCACAGAAATGAAGAGCTGGGGGAGGGGAAAGGACCAGGGGTGCAGTATGGGGGAGGGAAAGGTATTTAGCAGGCCCAGCCTGAGGAACATGACCTGAGCTACAGTCTAGAAGTGGACAATGGGAAGGTCATTGGTATGGATAGAGCTGATAGGTTGGGGACCTCTAAGAAGTAGCTATGGACAGTGCCTGGGTGTGAGGGGAGCAATGGGCCTGGTACAGATAGGGAGGGTGAGGTAGAGGAGCAGATTTGGAAGCCCCTCCCCTTATCACACCCAGTGCCCTCACTCCAGAATCCTCATCTTTCCCAGGTGGAGAGCTGTATACAGGCCTCACTGCTGACTTCCTGGGCCGAGAAGCTGTAATCTTCCGCAGCGGTGGTGCCCGGCCTGCCCTTCGCTCAGACACTGACCAGAGCCTCCTGCATGGTGAGGCCCTGTGTGGATAGCTCAACAATGGAGTTGGGGACTGGCCAGAGGAGGAAGGACTAGAATATCTGGGGAAAAGGGAGAAGCAGGAGTGGAAGAAGCCCGCCTCCCTTTGGTCCTCAGGATTGGGTGCCTTCAGTTCTGGGGGCAGGCCCAGCCATGGTTCCCCATGACTCACTGGCTGACACCTATCAGACTGAAGTACTGCTCCCTGCAAACTCTTCCCCCTCAAACTCTCTGCCCTCTCCCCCACAGACCCCAGGTTTGTGGGCGCCGCCCTTATCCCCGACAACGCTGACCGAGACAATGACAAGGTCTACTTTTTCTTCTCGGAGGCAGTTACCCTTCCCGATGGGGGCTCTGGTCAGGCTATTGTCAGCCGTGTGGGCCGCATCTGCGTGGTGAGAACCAGGCTGGGGGGTGTTTGGATGGGCAGGGACTAATGAGGTAAAACCCTAAGAAGCGATAGGCCCTAACTCCTACCCATGTTGGCTTCCTCTTCCCAGGAGTATGGGCAAGGCTTTTTCCCTCCCTCCAGTTTTTAAAAGGGGAAATGAAGATCCAGGCATCAAGGCTGGGGTCAGGGAGAGATCCTAGGTTTCTGAGCTAAGGGTATGGGGTAGGCTGGGCTTTGCCCCTCTGTCATACCAGCTTGTCTGAGAGGTCCATCCCTGGAATGACCCTCCCTACCCCATCTCAGATTCCCCAAGGGCTCTGGGCTCCCTGGCCTGGGTCCTACCTCTGGAGTAACTCTGCCTTCCCTTTCCTAGAATGATGCTGGGGGCCAGAGAGTACTGGTGAACAAATGGAGCACATTTCTGAAGGCCAGGCTCATCTGTTCTGTGCCTACCCCTGGCGGTGCTGACACCTACTTTGACCAACTGGGTAAGCTGGAGGGCAGGGGCAGAGCATCTGTGGGGGGCAGAGGCCTGGGGGAAATTGGCTCGGTCTGGGAGGGGGTCAGTGAGGATTGTGATCCAGCTGTGTTCACCTCCCAGAGGATGTGTTCCTGCTGTGGCCCAAGGATGGGAAGAGTCCAGAGGTCTATGCCCTATTCAGCACGCTTAGGTAAGATGCTGACCTTTCTCCACCCATCCTCTCATCTCTGTACCCTGACGTTTCTTTGTCTCTTGTCTTTGGGTTTGTCTCTGTCCCTTCATTCTTTCCTTTGTGTCCCTCTGAATCATAAGATTTAGACCTGGAAGGGACCTTGGAGTCCCTACTATTATCTAGTCCAGCCCTTTCATTTTAAAGATGAAGAAATGGAGGCTCAGAGAGGTAAGTGACGGCTCTCAGCTTCCTCCAGTATCCTGGGGTTGAAGCCCAAATCCGGCAGTCTTTCCCCTTTATAAGGCTTCTCTGTCTCTATCTCCCTTGCAAATAGTAAGCACTTAATAAATGCTTGTTGATTAGTTTATCATCTCTCTATGATCCTTCTTAGCTTCTCCTCTTCCATCTTGGGACCTCTCATCTTCCATTTCTTATGACCCTTCCACATCCTTAGTAAGGACCCTCTCTACTCAAGCTTCAAGAGTGACTGACTCATTGGTGTTATTTCTTTGGCAGTGCTGTATTCCAGGGCTTTGCTGTCTGTGTGTACCGCATGGTTGACATCTGGGAGGTTTTCAACGGACCCTTTGCCCACAGGGATGGTCCTCAGCACCAGTGGGGACCCTATGGGGGCAAGGTGCCCTTCCCTCGGCCAGGGGTGGTGAGTTGAGGTCTATGGGCAACGAGGGAGAGGGAGGATGAGAAGAAAGAGGGAAGTGGAAAGAAAGGAGGGCTGAGGGGGTGATGGCTTTCCCCATTCTAACAAAGCTTTCCCTGGGGGATGGCAAATTGCACCTGCACTCTTGGAGTTTGGTTCTGGGCCCCCAACAATCTTAGGTATAGTTCTAGGCTCCCTACTTTCTGGCACTTATGTTGGACCCTGTACCCTCCCAGTATGGCCCTGGGTCTTGAACTCCTTGGAGACCGTCCTAGGCTCCAAACCCTGCTCCACCCCAATCCTACTCCCTGAACAGAGCCTGGGCTCCATACTCACTAGAGACAGCCAGCCGGCTTTGAAGGAGAAGGCTATCTATTTGTCACGTTGCTTTCCCAATACCCACAACGAAGGGAGAGGGAAGGGGAGGAACCTCAGGGTTGAGGGGGAACTCCATGTCAGGGAGAGAGCTGGAGAGACAAGAAGTGTGGGACAGGGGCTTGGGACAGAAGTCATCGCGGTTTTTTTCCTCCTGTTCTCTCTGCCCTCCCCTTCCTCATCTCATGTTCATTTGCTTTCTGGTCCCACCACCCATTCTTCCGATCTCTGGCCCCATAGTGCCCCAGTAAGACCACAACCCAGCCTGGCCGGCCGTTCGGCAGTACCAAGGACTACCCAGATGAGGTGCTGCAGTTCACCCGGGCCCACCCACTCATGTTCCAATCTGTACTGCCCCGGCATGGGCGTCCCATCCTTCTCAAGACTCACCTGCCCTATCGACTTCTCCAGATTGTGGTAGACCGAGTAGAGGCTGAGGATGGGGCCTATGATGTCATCTTCCTGGGCACAGGTAAGTGGTCTGAGACCCCCCCACTCCCTTGCTACGTGGACTTTCCCTTTCCACCGGAGTTGGTATTGCTGATCCCCTCCCTGAACGTTTCTTCTATTGCCTAAAATCCCACCATCAACAAGTTATTCCTTTGGCCTACACATTGTCGTGAAAGCACATCAAATCTCCAGTGCCTCACTACAAACGAATATATCAGAAATGGTCAGACCTAAAGGGACCTCAGAGGGTGCTTTATCATCTAATGCTCAGAGAGGGAATGGGCCTCACAGAGCAAGTTGATGATTGAACTGGGACCCAAAATCCATGTTACCCGATGCCCGGCCCAGGATTCCTTCCCTTGCACTCTCAGATCTCCTCTCTTCCTCTGAGATGAGTATGAGAACATTAGCTTGTGATGGAGGGACAAATAAAAGGGGGAGGTATGTGAGGAGTAGCAAGACAGACTCTGAACCAGACTGAATCCACCAAATGGTCCAAAATGGATGGTTTAAGTGCCACGATGACCACACCCTCAGCATTGTCTGGTCCTCTATAGTTCTGGGTGCCGAAGCCTATGCTAGGGCTCTTGCAAGCTCTGAACCTTTTTCTATCCTGTTACTTCCTCATCCAGTTCCCTCCTCTTCCCCTCACTCTTCTCCTCTTGCTTCTCAGACGTGGGCTCTGTACTCAAGGTCATAGCTTTCCAGACGGGAAAATCCGTGGAGCCTGAGGAGGCAATCCTGGAAGAGCTGCAGGTGTTTAAGGTGAGCTGTGGATAGGGAAGGGTTAGCCTCAGAGGGGTGCTGGGGACACCATTCTCAGGATCATTGTGGGATGGAAGAGCTAGAAGATCCTGGCATCTAGGCTGCCTAGAGAAAGACAGATGTGCCATTTTTTTTAATGGGACTTAATTGTGGAATCTACAAACTAAAGGCTAGAGAGCTTGGCTTTGATTTCTGGTGAAATTCTAGAATATTTTTAAAAAATCTTATGTGTATCAATGGATTTTAGTTTTATGTCACCCATGAATGAATCCATTGAAAGGAAGGTGAAGAAAGAGGAGGGGAAAGTGGTCTAGAAACATTATTAAAGGGATGGTTAGTGAACTTTTAGAAATGCAAGTGGCTATCATAAAGAGCCACCAGGAGTTTATCAAGATCTGGTCATGCTAAATTAACGTCATTTCCTTTTTAAAACAGGGTGATAATAATAGCTAGCATTTACATAGTGCTTAGAGATTTGCAAAGAACTTTATAATCATTATCTCATTTTGTCCTCCCAATAACCCTGGGATTTATTATTATCTCTATCTTACAGATGAGGAAATAGAGGCAAATAGAGGTTAAGTGATTTGCCCATGGTCATAAAAAAAGTAAGATTTTGAAGCAGGATTTGAACTCAGGTCTTCCTAACTCCTGTTCTGATGTGTTCAGGGTATGTTGTTGATTCAGTTTATCTAAGCATTAGCAAAACATTTAATAAAGTCTCTCTTGTTATTCATGTGGTCACGAGAGAGAGATGAGGTTAAATGATAGCACCGGCTGGTTGAATGACTAGAACCAAGAAATAGTCATTAATGGTTTAATATCAACTTGGAAGGAGGTCTGTAGTGGAGTGCCCCAGGGATCTGTCCTTGGTCCTGTGCTATTTAACATTTTTATCAGTGACTTGAATAAAGGGCTGCTCATCAGATTTGAAAATGACACAAAGCTAGGAGACATACCTATCACATTGGATATCTGTAAGGCACCAAAAAGACCTTGACTGGCTAAAATGATGGCCCAAATATAGTAAGGTGAAATTTAATAGGGATAAATGTAAATTCACCATAGACTCTTAAATTTGGGGCTGGAAGGGACCTTGGAGGGCAGTCTTATTCCTTCATTTTACAGATCAGCAATTTGAGACCTAGAGAGCTTAAGTGACACTTCCAGTTCAAAAATATCAACTTGATTTCACATCAAATCAAATCACTATTAGCTTGTGGCTTTATTGTTGTTGTTCAGTTGTGTCTGACTCTCTGTGATTCCATTTGGGGTTTTCTCAGCAAAGATACTGGAGTGGTTTTTGCCATTTCCTTCTCCAGTTCATTTTATAGATAGAGAAATAGAGGCAAACAGGGTTAAATGACTTGTCTAGGGTCACATAGCTAGTAAGTGTCTGGGGTTGGACTTGAACTCAGGTCTTTACTCCAAGCTAGGCTTTCTATCCACTGTGCCACCTAGTGTATGGCTAGATAGGGGTTTATCTGGAAGAGTCACAAGGATTTTAGTGAACTGGGAGCTTAATATTAATCAACAGGATGTTATGGCAGCCAAAAGAGTGAATGTGTCCTTAGGCATGGTGCCCAGGGCTAGGCCCATTGTATCCTTCCTTGCTTAGGCCACATTTAGGATATTGTGTCTAGCTCTGAGTGGCATGGGAAAGACTATTTGCATTTAGGTGGCACAGTGGAGTCAGGAAGAACTGAGTTGAAATCTGGTCTCAGACACTTACTAGCTGCGTAACTGGGTAAATCATTTAACCCTGTTTGCCTCAGTTTCCTCATCTGTCAAATGAGCTGAAGAAAGAAATAGCAAATCACTCCAATAACTTTGTCAAGAAAACCCCAAATGGAGTCATGGAGAGTCGAACACAACTGAAAATGACTGAATAACACAATAAAGTGTAAGGCATTATGTTAGACCCTAGTGATAAAAAGATACAAAGTAGTTTCTGCTTTATTTGGGGATCCAACATATAAACTGATAAGTAAATAGAAGATAAGGTGGGTGAGAGCACTAAGGACTGAGGCAATTGGGCAAGGTGGGCAAGAGGTAGTATCTGGCTAAGAATTGTAACAGACAGAGATGGGAAAGGAGAGTATTCTAGAGCTGTCATGGGGGGCAGCCTAGAGAAAGGCATGGAGGGGGAGTATGGGATACCGAGCTCCAGGCATGTAAGTGAGGGATGTTGTGGAGGATTGGCAAGGCTTGGCAACTGACCTGTATTTGGCAAGTGAAGGAGAGGGAAGAGTTGACCATGTCTCTGTGCATGGGAACCTGGGTGATTCGAAGGAAGAGTGCTCAACAAGATCAGAGGAGTTTGTGAGAGGGACAAATTAGTGGGGGAAGATAATGAGCTCCATGTTGGATGTGCTGACTTTGATATACTCATGGGATATCCAGGTAGAGATGTCAAGAAAGTTTGGCTATGTATGTTTGGGAGGTGTCGCCATAGAGATGATGACTAAACTCATGGTTGCTGATAAGACCAGGAGAGTGTAGAAAGAGAAAAGAGCTCAGGACAGAACCTTGGGGAATAGCCACAGTTAGGGGCCAGACACAGATGATAATTCAGTGAAAGAGACTGAGGAGCAGTAAGGCATTATACTACTATGGTATCTTTGAGCAGTCTGTGTTGGGGAGGGGTTGGACACGTATTTAGAGGAAGATGGGGTATACAGTGGGGGCAGAGGGGTAGGTTAGAACAAGCTAATTAAGAATGGAGGAATTAGGGACCTGGGGAGATGACCAACCTCAATTTTTAGCTAAAGTACACTGCCCTTAGCCTAAGACTTAAACAAAGTTCAGCAAGGAGGAGGTTGGCTGGCAGCAGAGACTTTTCTCCTAAATACAACAGCTGGAGAAGGCTGCTTGGCCTTCACTTCAAGAGCTTGGCTCTTGGAGGAGGAAGGACCATTGTAAAAGCCAGAAGTGCTTATTTGAATCCAGGCTAGGAGCCAGCTTTTGAGGAAGAGCCCTCTGGGAGAGCTTTCATGGTTGGGTTAGGGGACTAAAGAAATGGAGTAAAGGGGAGGGTGGACACTCAGTCCCAATACTGAACTCCCACTCTGCCCCTAGGTGCCCACACCCATCATCGAAATGGAGATCTCTGTCAAACGGGTAAGAGGAACATTTTTCCTTCTCTGTCTCTTTTTACCTCACCCCTTCTTCTCCACCCTCCTCTTCTTCCTTCCTCCTTTGCCTTCTTTCTGGCTCCTTTCTCCTCTTCCTTGGCTTAGCCTTTCCCCCCTTCTCTTGAACTCTTCTATCTTTTCTTTCTTCCTTCCAAAATTCACATTGCGTTGAGCTTTTGATGTGCTATGTTGCGGCCTTGGAGTCCACAGTCTAGTTGGGAAGAAAAGACTTATAGACAGGAAGCCATTGAGGAACAAAAGTACAAGTTGGAGTTGGGGCAGGGAGGGCGGAGATCCTTCAGAGCTTTGAGAAGGTTTCAGAGAGGAAGGAGGTCCTTAAAATTCATGTCTATCAAACCATATTTTAAGGGCATTAGGGGACCTTACTTAAAGAGCCATACCACAAATCACACTCATGGGATATAGAATAAGAAGGAAGCCAAGAAATTTTATAGGCCAACTTACTTATTTTTATAGATGCGGAAATTGAGACCGAGATAAGGAAAGTGATGTGCCCAAGAATAGTCTCTGACTCCAAATCCGGTGCACTTTCCGTTCCATAGCACTATGTCTCACGCAAAGAATTCCCTTTCCTCTCTCCTTCAATTGATAATTTGTATAAATCTGGATTTTTCTACATCAGGTTTGTTCAAAGTAAGATCTGTCTATAAGGCAGCCCACAGGCTCGTTACCATTTTGAGGGAAGGACGAGGGTGCGTGTCTTGAGTGGGAAGTAGCAAAAGAAGTTAAAAGCCATGAGGATGGGATGAGAAAACCATTGGTTTCTATTTGTCAGTCTGGGAAGGCCTCCTTGAGGAGGATGGACTCTCAGGAGCCCCATAGCCTTTCCTGCCTCCCCAGCCCTCCACTGCCTTTTGAGGTCAGAGTGCTTTAAAGAGCCCTAACTCCTCTGCTCCCCAATCTGATCTCGATCTAGCAAACGCTGTACGTGGGCTCTCCGCTGGGTGTGGCCCAGCTTCGGCTGCATCGGTGTGAGACATACGGTGACGCCTGTGCAGAGTGCTGCCTGGCCCGGGATCCCTATTGTGCTTGGGATGGCAATACCTGCACTCGATACCAGCCCAGTTCTAATAAACGGCGATTCCGACGGCAAGACATCCGACATGGCAACCCAGCACTGCAGTGCCTGGGCCAGAGCCACAGTGGTGAGTGTGCACCTGTGTGTGGAGGCCTGGGGGTTGGGGGGCAGGGATCCACCGCTACTTCCTCTGGGAATCTCCTGGGGGTGGACATCCTGCCCTCTCTGCCCAAACCTAACAGAGATTGCTACTTAGAGATAAGAAAAGGGCCTGAGGTTACAGCTCTCCTCCCTCTTCAGCACTGTCAATTAATGCATTGAAAAAGCACGTATTATGTGCCAGGCATCGAGCTAAGCATTGATAATACGAAAACAAAACTGACACAGTCCCTAGTCTCAAGGAGCTTAGAGTCCTAGTAAATGGAGAGAGGCTTGGGTGTAGAGCCCCAGCTCAGCAATTAGGTGGCCCTCAGCAAGTTACTTTTGCTACGAGGGCCTCATTCTCCCCACTTCTACAATAGGAATAATACCAGCCAGCCACCTTGCCAAACTCACAGAAGGTATTATAAGGGTAAAATGAGAGAATGAGTGTGAAAGCGATTTGGAAAGTATAAAGAGCTCCATCAGTTCTAACTTCCAAGCCCATCTCCAGGGGGAGGGCAGGATGGGCGCTCTTGATTCATCTCACAGGCTGAAGGTCAAGGAGGAAGGGCATAGGTTGGGATCTTTAGGAGGTCAAGTTGAGTCTCCCAGTTGCCTCTTTCCAGGGGATGTCATGGGGAGTATGGAGGCCACTGTGGTGTATGGCACAGAACACAACAGCACCTTCTTGGAATGCCGGCCCAAGTCCCCCCAGGCCACTGTGCACTGGTTTGTGCAGAGACCCAAGGATGAACAGCCAGACCAGGTAAACATGGCTTCCACCCAACCACTCATCTCTCTGTCTCTCTCCTCCTCCCTCTCTCTCTCTTTCTCTATTTCCTCTCCTCCTCCTCTTCTTCTTCTTCTTCCTCTCTCTCTCTTTCTCTCTCTCTCTCTCTCTCTCTCCCCCCCCCACTTTCTTTCCTTCTCCAGGGCAGGGCAACCCTGTTCCATCAAAGAAATACATACTATTACTATTCTGACTCTGCCTACCATTCTAGGCTTGTTACACATCATACCCACTTACCACACTGTATATGCCAGCCAGTCAAAATAGCTTACTCGCTGTTCCTCAAGTGCTGAACATCCTATTTCCAAATCTTTGTGCAGGCTATGATCCATGCCTAAATATATGCCTTCCTTCATCCCTCAGAATCCCTCATTACCATTAAAACTCAGCTCAAGTACCATTTTCTACTAGAGGTATTTTCTGGAGCTCTTCCTTTTCCCTGGGTTGCTGGTTTTCACCCCTCAAAAATGCTTTTACTTTTTATCTATTTTGTATGTGCTTAAATGAATACATATTGTTTTCCCTCAATGGAACGTAAGCTTCCTGAGGGCAGAGGCTGGTTCTTGTCTTTGTATACCCTGTGCCCAGCATTGTGCTTGGCACACAGTAGATGCTTAATATGCCTGGATGGATGAATGAATGAATTACTGAGCTCCTTCTATGTGTTCAGCCCTATGTGGAAAAAATAAGAGAAGAAAATATGATACCTTCCCTCAAGGAAAACAAACTTGTTAGGAAAGGCAATATTTTAAAAACAATTATGAAATAGCAAAAGAATTAAGTATAGAAGTATGTGGGATAGGCTGGTAAGCACTGTAAAGTTAATTTTAAAAGGAGATTAGTGTAGACTGAAAAATAATCATCAGGGAAAGTTTCACTGAGGCATGACCTGAGTTGAGCCCTGAAAGATCTGAAAACGTAGAAAGGTAATGGCATCCCTGTGAGGAGCAAGCATTGAGTAAGGTGTGGAGGAATGATGGAACTTGAGGGTGTGTGTGTGTGTGTGAGTGCGTGTGTGTGTGTGTGTGTGTGTGTGTGTGTGTGTGTATCTGTTGGAGGGAGGAGTGGGCCAGGGAGGTCTTTCTCTTTTTTTTAATTCTGATATTTGTATTTTTTTGTTAATTTATTTTGATTTATCAACAATTACTTCCATAAGCTTTTGAGTTTTAGATTTTTCTCCCCCTCCCTCCCCGCCTCCCTCCTCAAGACGGCATGCAATCTGATATAGGCTATACATATACATTCCTATTAAACTTATTTTCACATTAGTGATGTTGTAAGGAAGAATTAGAACCAACAGGAGGGACCACCAGAAAGAGAAAACAAAACAAAAGAAAAAAAATAGCAAATAGTATGCTTTGATCTGCATTCAAACTCCATAGTTCTTTCTTTGGATGTGGAGAGCATTTTCCATCATGAAACCTATGGAGATGTCTTAGATCCTTGCATTACTGAGAAGGGCTAAGTCTATCAACGTTAGTCATCATACAACGTGGCTGTTACTGTGTACAATGTTCTCCTGGTTCTGCTCACTTTACTCAGCATCAGTCCATACAAGTCTTTGCAGGTTTTTCTGAAGTCTGCCTGCTCATCATTTCTTTTTTGTTTTTTTTTGGCTAGGCAATGGGTTAAGTGACTTGCCCAGGGTCACACAGTTAGTAAGTGTTATGTGTCTGAGGCCAGATTTGAACTCAGGTCCTCCTGATGCCAAGGCTGGAGTTCTATCCACTGCGCCACCTAGCTGCCCCTGCTCATCATTTCTTATAGCACAATAGTATTCCATTACACTCATATATCACAACTTGTTCATCCATTCCCCAATTGATGGGCATCCTCTCAATTTCCAATTCTTTGCCACCACAAAAAGAGCTACTATAAATATTTTTGTACATGTGGGTCTTTTTCCCATTTGTATGATCTCTTTGGGATATAGCCCTAGAAGTGCTATTGCTGGGTCAAAGGGTATGCCCATTTTTATAGTCCTTTGGGCACAGCTCCAGATTCCTCTCCACAATGGTTGGATCATTTCACAATTCTACCAACAATCCATTAGTGTTCCAATTTTCCCACATCTTCTCCAACATTTATCTTTTTCCTGTTTTGTCATGTTGGTCAATCTGGCAAGTGTGATGTGGTACCTCAGAGTTGTTTTGATTTGCATTTCCCTAATCAATAGTGATTTCTAGAGCATTTTTTCAAATGACTATAGATGGCTTTAATTTCTTCATCTGAGAACTGCCTGTTCATATCCTTTGACCATTTATCAACTGGGGAATGACTTGTATTCTTATAAATTTGACTTACTTCTCTATATATTTTAGAAATGAGGCCTTTATCAGAGATACTGGTTGTAAAAATTTTTTCCCAGTTTTCTACTTCCCTCCTAATCTTGATTGCATTGGCTTTGTTTGTACAATTTAATGTAATCAAAATTATCCATTTTGCATTTCGTAATGTTTTCTATCTCCTGTTTGGTCATGAATTCTTCTGTTCTCCATAAATCTTACAGGCAAACTATTCCTTGCTCTCCCAGTTTGCTTATAGTATCAGGGAGGCAAACAGCCCCTAGATAAGGGAGTTTTTAACTTTTTTTGAGCCATGACCTCCTTCGGCAGTCTGGTGAAGTCTATGAATGCCTTCTCAGAATAATGTTTTTAAATGTTTAAAGTAAAATACATAGGAGATAGACATAAACCAATCATGCCAAAATACAGTTATTAAATTAAAACACGTTCAGGACCCCCAGGTTAGGAACCCCCTTCTTAGATACTCAAACTTCATGGTCTGGCCTCCTGGGTACAAGTTCTTTATCCTTTACCACACCAGCAGGTTTTCCCTTCTCTCTGTCCCAGGCTTGGAGGACCTTTGAAAGAGTTCTCCTCACCCTTACCAGTCCCTCTACCTACCAGGTAGTCTGGTAGTCTTATCAGTCCCTCGACCCACCCACCCCCCTTCTGTACTAGGCCTGGGCCCCTGACTTCCAGGTCCTGGCCTTTTCCCATCGCCTGGTGCTGATATTTCCTGCCAGGAGCCCAGCTGTCTGCCCTGACCCCTTCTTCCCTCCCTGCAGATCCGGAAGAGCCTGCTGGCCCCTGAGTCGGCTTCAGTCTGGTGCTGAGAGGGGCAGGCGTGGGTGGGATGAAGGAGCAATTCCAGGACCAGCTGAGCCTGCTCTCACAGGATCTGGGGGAGGAGAGGGGAGGACGGGACAGATTGATTACAGAAAAAGGAACCTCTGGGCTTGGAAATTGGGGGAGGGCTAGTGATGAGCCAGCTGGCAAATTAGGGCACTGTGAGGAATCCGTAGGGAGTGGTGGCAGAGGGTGAGGAGTGGAACTTAGAAGGCTGAGCTTTGGGAAGAGGATTTGAGAGATGGAGCTAGATGAGGTCTTTATAAAGGCAGGACCTTCTTTTGCAGAAACGTGGTTCTTGAAAAGTCTGGGAAATACCACGGGTGATTACATATGGGTTCATCAGGAGCTGCCAGGTGACTGGGGCAAGAGTCTTATCCGTCTTGTGGGGAAGCTAAGAGTGTAAACACCTGCTGTGGATTAGCCCTATGCTAGGCTACGGATCTGGAGAAAGAAGCCTGAAATACCTGAAATGACTGGCAACTAAATATGAATTAACTAAATATTTAAATAATGAATAATTTTGAATAATTAATTAGCTAAATGTTAATCTTCGACTTAAAGTGCTGTGGGAATTGTGAGGAAGAGTAGTTGTAGATAAGTGTGGGCTTGGAGTAGTCGGGAAGGGTTTCATGGAGGCAGCAGGACTAGCGATGGATTTGGAAAGACATCTGCTATTTGTATAGACAAAAACAACGTTTTTCCGCCCTTCTCACCAATCCTGTTCCCAACAGGTGAAGACAGATGAACGAATCCTACAAACAGAGCACGGGCTGCTATTCCGGAGGCTCAATCGCCTTGATGTGGGCACTTACTCATGTAAGACCCTGGAACACGGGTTCGTCCAGACAGTGGCCAGGCTGGCACTGGAGGTGATAGCAGCTGAACAGCTGCAGGGCCTGTTCCCCCGGGAGCATGGAGAAGAGGAGTCTATTCCCAGGAATTTGGCTTCAGGGCCATCCCGCGCGTGGTACAAAGACATCCTCCAGCTCATCGGCTATGCCAATCTGCCCCGGGTAGAGGAGTACTGTGAGCGTGTATGGTGCAGTGACCGTTACCGACGCAAGGGGAAACACAGCAAAGGCAAGAGCTGGCTGGGGACCGAGCTGGGAAAGAAGGCAAAGAGCCGAGCCCAGGGGGAACGCAATCGGACCCCCCGGGAAGTGGAGGCTACATAGGAGAGGAGGAGGTAGCCGCGATGGGGAGCAGCATTGCCCAGCTCTCCCAGAGGGAAACCTCCCGGGCTGCCCTGCTTTCTGCTCCCCCGACGCATATAGCTGGGGCAGGGATGTCCAGAGCACAGACTGACCATCTTGTCTAGCATCCTATCTTTTGTAGGGAAATAAATCTCTGGCCTCCCAGTGCCTAGGAGGCGGGAATCCAGGGCTTGGGTTCTGGCCTGGAGATCCCCAGGCTTCTGATGAGGATGGGAGGCCCCTTTCCTTAACCCTCTGTGCCATAGCCCGCACCCCTTCCTGCCAGTTTCGCCAGGGACCGCCAAGCCCCAAGAGGCCTGCTCATATTCCACTGCCTTTGTTCTCCTTGGGAGGTGGGGTCTAGTTTTCCAAACACATTTCCAGCTGTGCCCAAAGATGAGGGCGGTTTTGTTTTTCTTTCTCAGCCCCTAAAACAATAGCCATTCTGAACAACTGTTAGGGTACCTGGGCCAGAGGAACAAGTCTCATGTTGAAGTGGTGGCAGGTGAGACAAGAGACACTGAGATTCTCTCAGGGTTCAAGGTCTGGGGGAAAAGGACAAGATCAAAGACAGCAAGGAGGCCCATGGACAAATGTTTCCATTCTTGTTTAATATAGGAAAACGCAGCAGAGTTCCCATTAATGGAATCAAATCTTCTTCAAGGTGGTGGGACAGTAGAGACTAGCCTGAAGATGGGGATGGGGGGAGGGGGAGTAGAGAAATTTGTTTTGACTCAATACCAGACATATCATAGATTTAGAGCTGAAAGGGACCTGTAAAGACCATCTAATCCAATCCCTCGTTCTATATGTGAGGGAAACTGAGGCCCAGAGAGATTAAGTGAATTACTCAAAATTACCAAGGTAGCAAGTGACAAAGTCAGGGTCTGAAGCAAGGTCCTTAGAAATCTAGAGCCAGCAACCTTTTCTACTGTACCACACTGTTATATACCTTTGCTTCTCCTATCATTGGCCTTTTTATCCACCTTCCCTCATAGCTGAGGCTTGTGGAAGAGATGGGACAATACCCTTCAGTCTGAGCAACCTAGGCTTCAAAGCTGAAAGTCCAGGGATCCGGCACTCCTCTCCATATCCCTGCCTCTTTGCGCCTTGAGGAGTCCCATTAGAATGAAGTAACTGGTTTATCTGAGGCACTTAGTCCTGATTTTCCCTCTGATAATTGGGGCACCATTTAGATGCTAGCAAGAGACAAGTTTCAGGCAGCAGAAGAAAGACCCAGTTCTATTCTCACAGCTCAATATGAGTCATCAATATTACAAACAAGAAAAAAAAAGCTAATGCAATATGGGGTTGCATTAATAGAATTCAAGTACCCAGAAGAAAGGAGATCAAGGAATATAATAGTTCTGCTGCCCTTTGCCCTGGTTAGTCAGCATCTGGAATACTGTTTTCTGCTCTGGGTGTTATATTTTAGAGAGCACATGGACAAAGTGGAGCATATGCAGGGGAAGAATCTTGTTGCATGAAGAATAGCCAAAGGAACTGGAGATGTTTAACCTGGAGGCTTGGGGGCAGGAACTGGGGACAAGAGAGAAAAGGACCATAGTCACTGTTTTTAAATATCTCAAGAACTGTCATGTGGAGAAAGGATTATACTTATTCTGTGCAGCTCCACAGGCTAGGACTAGGATCAGTGAGTGAAAGTGCCAGGGAGATGGAGTTCAGATTTTTAATTTGATAATAGACTGACCCAACAAGAAAGTGGGCTGCCTTGTGAAGTAGCTTTCTTGGGGATGTGTAAGCGGAGGATCATGTCAAAACTTGTCTGTAGGGTAAGGATGATGGACTGAAAAATCTCCAAGCTGTCCAGGGTGCACCCTCCTATTACTGGAATTTCCTGGTTTTCTGATGGCAAATTCCTGCTCCCTGCTTCAGTTCTCCCCCCTTCTCCCAACTAGGAGTCCTCTATGCTCTGGCATTGTTTTCTGTAGCAATGGCTAATGTGAACTAGAAAATTCAGGTTCTCCATTCCCCACCCCACATGGAGAGGATCAGAAATTCCTGGCAGAAAGATCCGGAAATGAGAGAAATGTCTTTAGGTGTAATAGACGAAGGGGTGGCTGAGAACAAGTGGGAGCCAATACTTCACCTGGCACCTGAGCATGTAATCTGGGGCTCTACTGTAAGCATATGCATGGAACTAGGGTGGATTAGAGAGAGGATCAGTCTCTGAGTTGCATATGACCTCTCTCCCAGAGCCTGGGGTCTGATCCCTCATGCTGGGTCTCCATCTGTCAAGGCAAAGATTCAAATTCAGTATCACAGATTTCACAGTCTGAACTGGTAGGCAGAGAGCCAGAGGAATATAGAGGACCTAGGATCTCAGAGGAAAACAGTGTGAGACCCATAGTGGGGTAATGACAGTGAAAGAAGCCCTCTCCAAGAGTGAGAATTGGCATCAATAACTAGTCCAAAGAGTCTTCTCAGGAGCTTTGGGAAAAGCTATTATCAGCTGTTATCCTGGGTCTCTCCTTTTCTGCTGGGCAGGGCTCCCAAGATGACATTGAGTGTGAGCCAGCTTAAATAGGTTTTTTTCTAAAAGATGCAAATTTAGAGGGAAAAGTTAGGAACTCTAAATCCTGGCACAAGATGTCTATGTCTGGGACAAATGCTACATAGAGCCATCGAAGGAGTAATTCAGCCCTAGGGCTGAGGAGTGGGGGAGGATTAAATTGAAAAGACTGTTCTTACTCTGAATTTGATGAACAAATTAGTCAGTGATGCAGAAAAAGGGCAAATGGAGGGGGGAAAAAAGAGCCATGGGTCTGACATTTCCTTCTCTTTGGAAGAAAAAAAAAGTAGTGGGGTTGGGGGGAGGTTTGCTCCTTTCCCTGAAACCCATATACCTTCTTTCTACCATTACATTTCAAAGTGAACCAACCTAAAGGGGATGAGACAAGGGCAGAGTCAATTAGACAATTCTCCCCTTCCTGCTGTGAGTGTGGGAGACAGAGAAGGAATGAAAAGTGGAAAAGAGAAAGTGTAAGGTAGAAAATGGTACTACCCCAAGGAGGGGCAAGAATGAGAGTGTGTGGCTATAGCTAAGGCCATTTCAACCACCAATGAACAATCCACTGTATGAGTAGGGCCCAGCCTTTGACAAACTCTATACTCATCTTATACTTTAGAGACATTAGTCAAGCCAAGAAGCATTTATTAAGTGTCTACTCTAGTCAGGCGGGACGATAGCATATGTAGCATAGGGGAGTTGTACTCTGAAAACTTAACACTTAAAAAGTGATAAAATGTCAGTATTTTCTGCCAAATCTTGGTTTGGAAGCCTGTTTCTTTAAATATACCATATTGTTTCACTTGTGAATAAGTCCTGTAAATATGCCATATATTTGAATTTTATTTTTCTATGTTGGGATGGACCTTGTATATAGAATATGCTCTTTGCCATTGGAGTATGTTTCCTATTTTTTTATGATATAACTGTTACATAATTCTCCAGAAAGATACCTATAGAAGACTGCCATGCTAAACCTCTGGGGTTGGGGAGGAGGTTAATAGTATTTGTAATTTTGTTTCTGTGCATATACTGTTCTACTAGGGCTGCTCTTCCCATTTCAGTGGCCTGTGGATGGACAGCTGTATGCTCCTGCCTAGGATGTGGGAGGCTTTGAAGAGTGGTTACAGGTTTGCAAGGAGAAGCAGAGTGTTTTGTTTGTGGGAAACAAAGATTGTTCATTAAACTGGGAAAACCTATCCTGTGTATCTGTGAGACTGATCTTGGAACCTTAGGATGGGCCAGAATTCAAAGAAATGTTGGTAGGGGCAGAGGAGCTAGGCTTTTTGATGCTGGGAGCTAAAATTCTTTCACTATAATCCCTGACATTTGCAATAGCACCACCTGGCCCAGCTACCTGCTTTTCATCTCAATCAACAAAGCAATGGAGTTCTTGTCAAGAGATCCCCCTCCTTGCCACGGGCACTGACTAGTACCACCCAGGACTGCACAGCAGGACCTGCTTTGCTCCTAGAACTTCCACATACCAATCAGGATTATACACATTTCCTACAAAAGTAGGTTAGCTGGTCTGGGGGCTGGACAGGAGATAATTTCCTAGGGATTGAGAGAAAAGAAACACTCCCACTAATATAGGTAGGCCTTGGCCTAGAACAGTTGTCTAAAGGCCTGGGGCTGGGCTCCATCACTTAAAGACAGTATCTTAAAGGAGGACTCAGGTCTCCTAGAGGGGCATTCCTGCAAATGTGACTTTAGGCAACTTTTCATTCTTTTTTTTTTTTTTTTTTTTTTGCTAGGCAATGGGATTAAGTGATTTGCCCAGGGTCACACAGCTAGTAAGTGTCAAATGTCTGAAGGCAGATTTGAACTCAGGTCCTCCTGACTCCAGGGTTGGTGCTCTATCCACTGTGCCACCTACCTGCCCTGACATCTCTTCATTCTACCAGTAAAATGAGTTGGCCACAGTACTTCCCAAGACAGTGATCTGACATGATGGGTCCTCAATAAATGTCTCTGATTAACTAAAATGATAGAGGGTAAATAAAACATGTTCCTAGGAATAGCCACTAGGTGGTGCAGTGGATAGAATGCAGGGCCTGGAGTTAGGAAGATCTAAGTTCAAATTCAGCCTTGGATACTTAGTAGCTATGTGATCCTGGGCAAGTCACTCACCCCATTTGCCTCAGTTTCTTCATCTGCAAAATATACCTACCTCGCAGGGTTGTTGTGAGGATCAAATGGGATAATTGTAAAGTGCTTAGCACAGTGCCTTGCACCTCGTAAGCGCTATAGAAAAGCCATTATTGATACCAGCAGAAGTTTCTCCATTTCCTTTCTCCTCTCCAAATAACCTATCCTTCAAGTCAACAGCTATGTTGTATTGTCATTCAGTATTTACTGAGCACCTTCTCTGTCCAAGGCCGGTGCCAGGTGGGCAGAAGCATGATGTGGAGCCCCTGCCCTCCTAGGGTTGGGTGACCCTCATAAGGAGGGAGACAGGAGAGCTAGACAATGTAACAAATATTAAGTGCTAAATGAGTGGCACAGTCAATAAGTTCAAGGTGAACTTGAGTTGGGCTTTGAAGGAAGGAAGGTGGAGAGGAAATTCTAGGCATAGGAAACAGCAGACCTGAGGCAGAATCTTGGATGCATGCTCAGGGAACAATATAAGCAGACCAGTCTAGTTGGAGAATTCCTTTAAGGGAGTAGACGAAGTTAAGGTGGAAGAGAGAGGTAAGTGCCATGTCATGGAGGGCCTTGAATGGCAGGCCAGTTATCACAGTGGGGCCTGGGGTCCTGGCTCCTCTGGAGCCTAGGTAGGATTTATTTCCAAATATATATGTCTGGCCCCACTGGCACTGCAGGAAGAAGCACTGTACATTCGATTTAGTGGGCAAGAAGGGTCAAACAGTGGCAAAAAGGCTAAATTGCTACCTTGCAGGTCATTCAAGACTTCTACTGGGAAACCTACCTTGCCATTCTTTGAGCAAGGCTTAATTTCTCACCTCTACTAGCTACTTATACAGTCAGCTGAGGCCTAGGATTACTGCTTTACTTTCTTCTCTATCCCTTTTCACCTTTTAATTTCAACTCAATGTTATTTTCCCACCTGGCTGCACTACTTTGGGACTTTTCCAACTTCTCCACCAATATGGTAGGCAGTTTAGCATTGTAGAAAGAATACTGGATCCAAGCCACCAATTCTGCCTATGGGGTATAGGGATAGTGAGCAAATTCTCTTTACCAGTGCAAGGGCAGCAGCTTCTCTGTGGCCTACAACAAAGGACTTGCCCAGGATCACACAGCCAGTGTGTGTCAGAGGTGAGACTTGAAGCCAGGCCTTCCACCTTGCTTGACATATTATGCTACACTGCCTCTTACCATATATATTCCTGCTGTGCTCCATTTCTGCCACATGACCGAGAACCATTTAACCTCAGTTTCTCCATTTGTGAAATAAAGGAGTCAGCTGGATGGTGTCTAAGGTCCCTTCCAGCTCTGACAGTTCTCTACACTATACTTTCTGTCTCTTGATTTTCCTTGTGAGCACACCCCCTCCTTTTACACCACATTAGGTTTAAACCTAAAGACAACTGTGTCAGTGACTTGTCTTTTACTCTCATCTTCTGTTTTCTGTCCCCTCCCCATATCCTTATCTAAAAACTGTCAGAGCTATATCTTTAATTTTGATTCTGGGAGAACTGAGTAATATAGTTACTGCCTTGCTCCTCATCTCTATCCTGTGTCCTCCAAAGAAGCCTCCTACCTCTGCCCCTAGCATGTAGTATTCAAGACATTTTCACATCATCCATCTGTTCCCTTTGGCACAGTCCCCTTTGTGGTGCTGGTACTCACCCCAAACCTACAGGGTTCTCTTCACTGATAAGTTTCTGGGATCAGGGAGTAGAATTTGAAGAGAAGGAATTCTTCAGCGTGTTTAATTTTCCCAAGATCCCTTTGTCCTCCCTTCTATACTTTTAAACCTGGGGCATATGAGGTACTGTTCACCCACCTCAGTCTGGGGTGAGAAGTCAGATTATAACAGACAGAAGCAGTAGGTGGGAGGGAGCATTCCAGCCGTTGGGAAGTTTTTTCTGTGGCATTCCTTCTTGGAAACAAAAGACAGCTGTTCAGAAATGGCCTGTACTAGTGAGGAAAGTGCCAAGACTCCCATCTGACTCAGGCATCCATTCTTCTCTTTCCTCCTTGGGCCTCTTTTCCTGACCCATTGCAATACCTACAGGCTACAGGTGCTCCTGTCCTATGGTAGGAAGCAGGTAAAATGCCAATCCATTGAGTCCTCAGTCTCCTCCTGGCTCCTATGGCCACAAATTTGGCTTTGCAGTTGCCTGGAGGGTGGGGCCAATGCTGGAAACAAGGGGTTCAGAACTGTTCTTGAATCTGGCCTAATGACTCCATCCATTTGCCCATTCCTGAGCCACATCCCCAACCAGGGCAGCGTAATTGATAAATGGCATCCTCTGCCTGTTGAGGTTTAGGGGTGCTGGGCCCCCGGAATAGCAACACCTTGGGTCCTGCCCAAATGAATTCAACCCAAGCCTTCTTTCAAGACAAAGACATGGTTTATTAAAGATTCAACGTATTGGCCAGGGTCTTAAGGAATCCGAACATTTGTGACATTATGGACAAGTTGGCTAAAGTAAACTTCAACCATTGGCTGGATTTTAAGAATCTGAACACCTTAAAGGAGACAAGAAGGATTTTATATACAGAAAGACTGTGGGAGGGAGCTAGGAGTGGCCAAGTAGTTTGGGGTGACTGGAGGAGGGGTCTGGGAGAAGTGGTCTAGGGAGGATTGTGATGGGAGTGACTGGGAGGTAGAATGGGTTCTAGACAGAATCAAAGGTTGGAAGTGGGGGGGGGGCGATGGGGAGGTAACTGGACAAAGAGAGCTGGGTAGGGTCAGAGGTAACCGAATTGGGAGATTGGGCATAGCCACAATTAAAATTGAGAGGATTACTGGAATGATGCCTCAGGCGAACACCAAAGAAGACCGTGTGGGAGAAAACTCAAGCAGAGCTGTGGGGGCAGGTTTCCCAGGGCCCCTACTGGTCATGCTGGTGTGGCCTGCTTCCCTCTGACCAAATTATACATCACTCTGCCTTCTCACTACCTTGAAAGACCCTTAAGGGTCTTCCAGTTGAAGTCATTCACTTTTCCTTTTGGACTTTGTTAATGAAAGAAAACCATTTGGTTCCTCTGCACAGTTTGTTTGGTTTTTTTTTAAATCACACTACTGAGAGATTAAAAAATCTCTACTGAGAATGGGAAATGTTGCTGTCTCCAGGGAGACATCATATTCGCACTGCACTTTTTGCCCTCACGCTGGGACCTGTGTTATTTTGCTGAAATCCTTCAACCCTATTATACTACCAACATTAGGGAACTCATCTAATCTTTCCTGCTTTGTTCACCTGGAGATAAATTTTGGAGTTTGACTCAATGTGCTCTAATTGTCCATATTTTGGGCTAGAAGGGATGGCTCTATTCTTTACACATTTAAGCAGTCCAGTGCTTACTAACATTAATATCCTCATTTTACAAGGGGATAAACAGAAGAAGGAGGAGAAGGAGTTGCGAAGGAGTTGCTAAGGAGTTGCTCTGGGAATCAGTGGAATGGAAGCCTCAAATCCAGATGTGCGACCACACAATTAGATTTAAATTTTCTTTTCTTTTTGGAGCACATCAGGTCTGAGGTACCTTTGCTAGGAGGTTTACTAGGGATACTCAAAGTTCATTCCTGTTGGGGCCAAGAGTCTTTGAGCTAAATGGTAGAGAAAAAACTGGAGAACGATGCAGAAGTAGTTGACATTATGGATGTGATCTCATTTGTTGACTCTAAACCTCCCACCCTGGCTGATAAGAATCTGGTTCTGCTTCCTGTAGCCTAAGGTTTGCAGACAATAGTGTGAACAGCAGGCTAGGCTGGGAAGGACATTGTTATGGAAAGAAAAAATAACATACAAACACAAAGCCCAGGCTGGACCAACAGAAGTTATTTACAAACCCTCTGGCTTTCCAGAGATCTCACTGCCATTGAGGCTAGGAAGAGCACAATGGGGAATTGTTTGACTGGGCCTGGTGTCTCCCCTGCTGCCTCCTCTAAGGACAGGAGATGGCTTTGATGGCAGAAGATGTCTCAGACACTGAGCTCAGAGGGATGTTCACTGTATATCATGGCTCCTTTCCTGTTTATCAGGGGTGCATTTGGGGTGGG